GCCGGGGGGAGGGGCCTGTGCCGCGCCCCCGCGCGATGGATCCGCCCAGGCGCAGGACCCGGACCCGGACCCGGACCCGGGGGGCGGGGCGATGGGGGCCGCCCCCCCACCCGCGCGAGGAGCCCGCCGGGGGGTTTACACTCGCCCCGATCCGGTTTCGCGGGGGGCGCATGCGCCCATTGATTGTCCCGGGGCGAAAACGGGCTCCTGCGGGCACTTCCCTGGGGCTTAACGCGGGACAAGGGGCGGGAGCGCCTAGTGGAGCCTTTATCCCGCAATAAAGCAGGTGGGGCATCCAAACCCGGGGGGGCTGTTTGCCCATTGATTGTCCCGGGGCGAAAAAGGGGCGAGGTCGGGCACTTCCCTGGGGCTCAGGGCGGGCAGAGCCCTTATCCCGGATTAAAGCAGGGCCGGGGGGTTAACCCCGCGGGCTTCGGGCTGCTCTGCCGGAGGCCGGGATCCAGGCGTGCGTGGGATGAAGCGAAGCGGGAGTCGCTTTGCCGCGGGGGAACGCCGTGTGTGTCCGGCCCCAAGTCCGCTCCCCCCGGGGCAGCTCGTGCCCGCGGGCCTGTAACCCCAGGGTAGGTTAAGTGTGTTTTAATGGGGACCAGGGGCCGCGTCTTGCTGGGAGCTGCCGCCCCCCCTCCGTTGCATATCAGAGACCCCGTACTGCTGCCGCCTAGGGGAGACTCCCCTCGAGCCGAGCCCTGCAGCGGGGCCGGGCCGGGTGCACCTCGACGCCACCGCGCCCCGGCAGCTCGCAGCCCCGGGGGGCGGCAGGGACGTGGCCCCCAGCGCCCGGGGGGGGAGACGGGGATCCCGGGTGCTGCCCCTGGCCGGACTCTCGCTCCGACACCCGCGCCCCGGCTCTGTTTGCCTGCGCCCGGCCCCGCTTATCGGGTGTTTGCCCCAAGCCCGGTGCAACGAACTGCTCAAATATTTGCTTCCCTTTCCCCGCAGCGAGTTCCTCCCCGTTGGCCTGGGGCGCGGGTCTTCGGCTCCCCGCTGCCGCCGTGGGGCGTGGGAAAGGCGGGCTGCGGGGCGTGAAGCGAGTCTGCCCCCGAGGACGGTCTTGTCCCTAATGCTCTGGGGTCCTGCTGTCACGGGTT